TGTGGTTTTCTCTTCAAGCCCCAATAGATCTGTTGGTAATCAGATCAATTTGATGGGTTTCATTCCTTTTTAAAGTATTTGTGGCATGAATTGTAAGCATTCTGTAAGATGAGATACCTTCCTTGAGACTTAATCTTGTTGCAGTTTAAATTGACACCCTGCTCTTTTATGTACTTCATTTTCTACTTTTTAGTAACTAATTTTCTGAACATAGTCTACTATGTTACGGCCCTAAGTTCAGTTTTACTGTTGAGATCTTTGGATTGCTTTTAAACATAGTAGGATTGCAAAATGCAACTAAGAATTATTCTGTTTTCTTTTAAAACAAACATTGTTATTTAGTAAATCTTGGAGATTTACTCTGTATTTCATTCTGAGTCGCTTGTGTATGGCTATGCCCTTCTTTTGTGATCTCATTTGTCCTTTTCAGTGTTGTTTGATATTCATAGTAACTCTGCGTGAGAGGTAATGTTAATAACTATATAGATGAGAAAGCTGAGACTCAGAGCAATGTGAATTACTTGCTCAAAAACATAGTTAAAGAAGTGAAGCAGTAGGAATTTGAGTCCTTTACTTCTTGACTTAAATCATACTGAACTTCACTGTTTTTCTACCAAAAAATAGTATGACTGGAAGATATTTTACAGTTAACCATGTGTTGAATAGTAGCAGGAAGGATTTTATTTCCTACTCAGTTTTTGCCTTTTTAGGGAAAAAAGTTGGCAATTTCTGTGGGTAAGACTTTTTCAGATGCTAGCATCTGAGACTTGCTCCATTTGATTTGGATTTTATTTTTTTACCTCCCACAAGTTATGCTGTGGGTTTGTTTGGGAAATCAACAGTTAGTCAAATAATTATTGCATATGTTCATTGTGTCAAAATCTATTAGAACTTGAGAGCATGTAAAAACTATTTTAAAATGTTTTCCACACTAAAAGCATATTCTAAAATTTGTTCCAATTAAATTTTATGATTCATCAGTTCACGTGATGTGCGTAATAAGTACATTCTTTAGAAAGAATATGTAATATTGAGGGTGAACTGAAGATGAGAAAATGAGTGCTATATCTGTCTCTGCAGAGTGATTTTGAAGCTATTTTGGGGTATGTTGTTGGAGGCCCTTCTGGGCTTTTCATAGCTTTAAATAGAGCTACTACTACTCTGTGTAACCAGGGAGTGGCGGTTTGGGACTCCTGGACCCTGGCACTCTCTTTTTTTTCCCCAGTCTTCCTCTTTATGGCTTTCTAAAAATATTAGGACATGGGATAAAACAAAAAGAAAGAGGTGAGGAGAGGTCAAAATTCAAGGAATTTTGCCATCCAGTTCTTTTCTCATTCTTCTACTCCTATTGTTCATTCTTAATATCTTTACTCCTTACTTATGAAGGCCATGCTCTAAAAATGTTTTACTTTGAGCCTAAAGAACATTTTGCTGAAAGCGGTCCACAGCATTTCAGTTTCTCCCTTGCCCTTGCGTTACCATGATTAAAACAAGACAAAAAAAACTAGTCTTGAATTAAAGTACTAAATGTGTTAAGTGGTTTAACACATTTGGGAAAGGATTTGATTTGTAGCTACATCTTATAATGACTATTTCAGTGCATGACTGTGCTGAGAAATCTTTTTTTTAGTATACGCACTGTAGGTTGTAGAATGAAACAGTGTAAGGTATATAATTTTTCTTAAGTGAAGGGAGTGTAAATAAAATATTCCTATTCATTGTTTTTAGTACTTAAAAGCTTAGATATAGCAGCATTCTGAACTTTTTTACAACACATGCCTATTCAAAATGTTGAAAATGTATTACTAATATATAAATTTTACATGCTGTTGTCAGTTTATATGTTAAATGTTAACATTTTACTGGTTAAAAACAAATGTAAGTAAAAGTTAGACTGTTTCTTCCCACACCTGAATGGATCTTTTTGTTTTCCTCTCATAATTCAATATTCTTATTTATTTATTTGTTTTTTTTATTTGTTTGTTTGTTTAATTTAATTTATTTATGGTGGCTGGCTGGTAAGGGGATCTAAACCCTTGACCTTCACCATGCTCTAACCAACGGAGCTCACTGGCCAGCCCAACAAGTATTTATGGAACATCTGTGGTGCCAGGCAGTATTGCAAATGCTGAGGATACAGCAGTAAAAAAACAGACTCAAATCCATCCTCTTGTGGAGCTTCCATTCGGAACAAAATAAGTGAGATGTGTAGTATGTTAGTAGTGCTGTGGAGCTAAAGTAGGGGAGTGGGGATAGGGGAGTGTGTGGGGTAGGGTGGAATGGGGTTTGTAGTTTCAGCTGTGGAGGCTTCACTGAGAAAACAGGTTTGAATGAAGATCTTAAGAGCTAAGGGAGCAAGCCACATGGAAATTTGGGGGAAGAAGAGTAAGTGCAAGCCCCTGAGGTGAGAGTATGCCTTGCAGGTTGAAGAACTATCTGCAAGCCAAATTGGCTAGAATGGGGGTGGATTGGGGTGGAGGAGAATAGCTGAAGATGAGTTAGAGAAGTAGGCAGAGGGAGGGGATCATATAGAGCCTCTAATTGGGGTACATTACAAGGACTTTGACTTTTTAAAAGGTTTGTGAAAAACAGACCCAGGAGGGGAGCAGGTAGCAAGGTCAGAAGCAGGAGAACGAGTTAGGAGGCCATTGCAGTATGTCAGGTGAGAGCTAATGGTGGCTTGGGTCAGAGTTGTAGCAGTGGAGTGGTGGAAGCAGTTCAGTCATGGGTAGATTTAAGGTTTTTTTTTTTTTTTTCCTTTTTGTTTTTTTTACTGACTGGTAACGGGATTGCAACCCTCGGTGTTGCGCCCGCACCGCGCTCAGCCAGTGAGCGGGAACCAGTCTCCACATGGGATCCGAACCCTCAGCGGGAGTGCCGCCGCACTCCCAAGTGGCGCACTCTCCAGTGCGGCACCGGGCCGGCCCTAGATTTAAGTTTTTCAAAACAATTTGCTGATCAGGTTAGATGTGTGGCACATGAAGGAAAAGGTGGATCAGTTGGAAGGATGACCGTGGCCAGGAGCAGGTTGGGGATGGAGAAGGTGAGAAGTTCAATTTTGGTCATGTTGAGTTTGGGATTTTTATTAGACATTCAAGAGGGGATGTCAGGCAGGCAGTTATGGATAGAAGAGTCATGATCAGGAGAGAGGTCTAGGCTGAATATGAATTAGGGGAGGCTTATTTGTATACAGAGTGTATGTAGTATTTAAATTCATTAGAATTTAAATTTAAATTACATGAGATCACTAAGGCAATGTGTAGACAGAGAACAAGCCCTAGAACAGAGAGAGCGCTGATGTACTTTGGTGTTGGGATGTTGGGGAGATAGGGAGGAACCAACAAGGGTCTAAAGGAAATGATTACTCAGCAAGTGGGAAGAGAGGAAAGTGTGGTGATAGGTAGTGGATGAAGCCTTGCAAAGAGGAGGGCAGCCAAGCTGGATAAGATGTTGCATTCATGTCGAGTAAGATGAAGATTAAGCACTGGACAATTGACCTCAGCAAGCAGGTAGTAGCTACAGCCGGATTGGAGAGGGTGTTCAAGATAGGAGGGGAGGAGAGAAATTGGAGATGAGCAATTATAGGTCACTTTCAAAGAGGAGCAAAGCAACTGGGCATTAGCTGGTTGGGGGATGGGGGAACAAAGTCATTTTCTCCCCTTATTGGGAGGAATCACAGTAAGTTTGTATAGTTTTGGAAAAGATCCAATGAAGTGGGAGAACTGATGATTCAGGAGAACAGATGCTGGAGCAGTGTCCTTGAGTATGTGAGAAGGAGATAAAATGTAGTGCTCAAGAGGAAAGGTTGGCTGTAGCCAAGAGTATGACATTTCATCAGTAGTAACAGGAGAGAAGGCAGAACATATGGGCACAGATGCAGGGAGGTGTACAAATGCTACAATGAGAACTTATGGAAGTTTCTGTTTTCTTATGAAATAGGAAGCAGGGCATAGGCCAAAAGTGAGAATGAAGATGGAGAAGTTGATAGTTACTTAGGAGACAGGGAGAATGATGGAAAAGACAACTAATGGTATGATTGTTAGGGAGCATTGAGGGTCCCTTTGAGGTTAATCATCAGCTTTAGACTAATCAGCATGGTTGTATACATTTCTCTATCTATCCCTGTTCAGGGTTCCTAGGCTTGTTCTTATCGACCTTCTTTATTCCATTATATTTTTCAGAGGGAAGATTTTCAGTGGCTTCAAAAACTTAATTTTACCTTTTAAGCAGCTTAGTTTTGGTAGCATTTAGGTCAAGTTACTTTACCAGTGTGGTAATCCTAGTGTTATTTTATTTTACTTGAGCTTAAAATCAGTTTCAGGGCCAGCCCATGGCTCACTTGAGAGAGCATGGTTCTGACAACACCAAGTCAAGGGTTAAGATCCCCTTACCAGTCATCCTTTAAAAAAAAAAAAAATTAAAGATATAAATAAATAAGTAGATAAAAATAAAAAAAAATCAGTTTCATTAACCTAATGTTATTATCAACACACATTTATTTGTAAACATTTGTAGCTAGAATGTATGATAAGTCATCAGTATTTTCTTGCAGTTGCATTTAGCTCGTTGTAATTATTATTATTATTATTGTTTTTTTTCCTTTTTGTCTTTTTTTCGTGACCGGCAATGGATCGCAACCCTCAGTGTCGTGCCCGTACCGGACTGGGACCGGCAACGGGATTGCAACCCTCGGTGTTGCGCCCGCACCTCGCTCAGCCAGTGAGGGTCGGTCTGTATGTGGGATCCAAACCCTCGGCGGGAGTGCCGCCGCACTCTCAAGCGGCGCACTGTAGCAGTGCACCACCGGGCTGGCCCTCGTTGTAATTATTTAAACGGTCTTTTCTTTGAATTTTGCATTTTGTAAAAGCTAAACAAAAACCCACTAGGAGGTTGGACAGGTTCTTTTATGTCTAGTTCCAAGAGGTAAACTTTCTAATTTTAATTCTGGTGTCTAGTGAAATGACATTTGTTTCACAAATGTGTTTATTTTTCTGTTGTAGGAAACCCAGCGTTTGCTGGCAGAACCAGTTCCTGGCATTAAGGCAGAACCAGATGAGAGCAACGCCCGTTATTTCCATGTGGTCATTGCTGGCCCCCAGGATTCACCCTTTGAGGGAGGGACTTTTAAACTTGAACTATTCCTTCCAGAAGAATACCCTATGGCAGCCCCTAAAGTACGTTTCATGACCAAAATTTATCATCCTAATGTAGACAAGTTGGGAAGAATATGTTTAGATATTTTGAAAGGTAAGTGTTATCTTTATCATCATATGCTATTTAAAAAATTTCTTCTTTTTCTCTTAAGCATTGCATATTTAGAATGTAAACATTGCAATCCTGCCTTATATTAAGACCACAGAGGTCTGTGGGAGGGAAGTGCAGCAGTTCTGGTCCTGTTTTGTCATGCTTTATCATTCTGGGCCTGTTGCCTTCATAGATAAATGGTCCCCAGCACTGCAGATCCGCACAGTTCTGCTATCGATCCAGGCTTTGTTAAGTGCTCCCAATCCAGATGATCCATTAGCAAATGATGTAGCGGAGCAGTGGAAGACCAACGAAGCCCAAGCCATAGAAACAGGTATTTCATCTTCTAACTACACCTAATTTAACAACTACTGAGTGTCTGTCATTCATATAGCAATATTTAAAGATATTTTGAGCTGTTTTTGTGATCCATTTGATTATAGTATACAGTAGTTTATGGCTAGAGTTTGGAATCAACAGGCTTCTTCCTGCTACAGATTTTAACAAAATTAGTGGGGAGAATTATATATATCATATAGAAATGAACTCTTTTCATCCTTTTGAATTTTGCAGAACTTCTGAATTTTATTGCAGTATTTTGGTAATTAGACATATAGAAAATCTTTTAGGCCCTGATCCAGTTTATAGGAAATGGCATAAATTTCAGAGATTACAGTACATTCCCATAGTTAACTTAATAGTATTTGTTTGCTGTTCATAGAGTTTGGAAAGTAACATATTGAAGTAAGTAAAACAATAACTGCATGTTTGTTTTGTCTACAGCTAGAGCATGGACTAGGCTATATGCCATGAATAATATTTAAATCGATCTGATCAAGTGTGCATCACTTCTCCTGTTCTGCCAAGACTTCTTCCTTTTTTGTTTGCATTTAATGGACACAGTCTTAGAAACATTACAGAATAAAAGCCCAGACATCTTCAGTCCTTTGGTGATTAAATGCACATTAGCAAATCTATGTCTTGTCCTGATTCACTATTGTAAAGCATGAGCAGAGGCTAGAAGTATCATCTGGATTGTTGTGAAAACGTTTAAAAGCAGTTGCCACTCTCTGCTTTTATTCATTTCCCCCATCATGGTTTAAGTATAAAGCACTGTGAATGAAGGTAGTTGTCAAGGTTAGCTGCAGGGGTGTGGGTGTTTTTATTTTATTTTATTGTTTTGAGGGGGGAGGTAGTTTTATTTTAATTTTATGGTTCCTTTCCCCCTTTTTATGGTGATCTAATTGCATTGGTTAAAAGCAGCTAACCAGTTCTTTAGATATGCTCTCTAGCCAAGTCTAACTTTATTTAGATGCTGTAGATGGACAAGCTTGATTGTTTGAACCAAAATGGGAATATTAAACAAACATCACAGCCCTCACTAATAACATTGTGACTTTGCTGTCAAGTGTAGATTCCCCCCTTCAAAAAAGCTTGTGACCATTTTGTATGGCTTGTCTGGAAACTTCTGTAAATCTATGTTTTAGTAAAATATTTTTTTGTTATTCTACTTTGCCTTTTGTACAGTTTATTTTACTGTGTTTATTTCATTTCCCAATATGACAATCGTATTTAAAAATTAAAACTCTGGATCATTCTGTGTTGGTCTTCACCATCTGACAAATGGAATTGCAAGAGGTGGATTTTGCCAGTTTCTTTTCACTGATGCAAATTTGTGTTAAGATATTACTGAATGGAGTATTTATAAACTGCCCCTGAGCATGCATAAAACATCAGTATCTGATGACCTTTTTTTTTTTTTTTACCTCCTAGAAATTTGAAATTGTTTGTGTTGTCTGATTAGTTAGATGATCATTGTTGCCACAGTGTTTGAAAATTATTGTATAGGACAGTCAGCAAAAAAAGCAGTTTTGACTGATGTGTAGGACTTCACGTTGTGCCACATTTTCGCCTCAAATTTGGGTTATGACCTTTTTCTTGGTTCTTGTCTGAAAACTTCATGTGTAACCACTGGTGTGTGTTGTCACTGATCTGATAATCATTTGGGGTTTGCTGATGCATTTGTGAGTCTTCCTCATAGACCTGTTGACCAAATCTCAAGCAGCCAGCTTGCATAAGTGTCATCAGGAGCATCAAATCCTCACCCAGTTAATGATTTTTGCTTCCATCCCCCTAGTATTTGCGATGAGACCTCCCTTTATTTTTTAATTTGGTATTCAGTAACGTTTTTCTTCATTGACAGAGTTCCTGTCCTCACAAAACTGTTTCCCACATCTCTCCACAGCCTTCCTGACTCTTGTTATTTTTAAGTCATAAATGTAGCCAGTCAAAAATATGTAACTGTTAACCTTTGGGTTGGAATCTGTGTCTCTTGCAGTTTAAGGTAATGGATATTGTAGCCCACCTGAATTTTCCTCACTCTTATTCTCGTAACTTCTGGAGTTTCTTCAGAACGTGGTGTATTTTATTGTGCTCCTATGTAAGATGAAGAATAATCTATTAAAATTACATTTTCAACATACAAAAGCTTTTGATGACTGGTAACTGGTATCCTTCCAAGTAAATGCATTGCTTGATAACAAATGTTAGTTTAATTCAAAATAAAATTGTTAATAACCCTAATATTATAAATTTTAAAACTATTAACAGTAGTTGTCATAACAATTCTTTGGCTGTTTAGAGGGCATCTTTGACTATAGCTGATGAAACAAAATCCCACTCTAAAAAAATGAACTCCACAATACTTGAAGCAGTTAAATAGAGGTCAGCATTATTTACTGCAGGAAACACTGCTTATGGTTATAGCTAGTGTTACATAGTGATTTACAAATCATGAAATTCCAGATTTAAGTCTATTGTACTACAGAAATTTAATGTAGGATTCTGTTGACTGTTGAATTTGTGAGTCATAGAATTATAGAAGTGGAATAAGTTACTTCATCTCAAATATATGAATTCCTAATTTCATGGCATCACATTTTTTCCCTTTGGTTTTGATAAGAGTTCCCATAATTTTGATAAGACTTGCTTTCTCAACCAGTGGGATGGAACAACTTGCCAGTGTGTTGACTGAGCTTTCTTGCCTCTGGGAGAGGCCAAGGCCAAGGCCAAGGCCAAGGTTGAAAACTGGCAGCTACCTCTGGTCTGCGGGCCTGCTTTCCTTTGACCACACAGTATGGTTGATTAAAATATTTCGAATTTGATGCAAACATTTAAAAAATTTGGGAGATTCACATGAAAATCCAGAATTCTGGTGACTTTTGGATGGTATGAAGATCTGGCAGTTGTGGACCTGACCCACCTTTATGCATGGCACCTACTGGGAAGAGCTGAGTAGCAGCTACCCTAGGAAGAGCATGCCTCTTACCTAGTCTCTCTCCAGTTGGCTGAAGTCCCCTCCCAGCCCACCTGCTCCTTTATATAGTTCTGTTCCCTTGTAAGCCTTTTGACTTTGTAGCCATCAAGCTAAAGGAAACAGTTCATTTACTCTACAAATAAAAATGTTTAATGTGTGCCTACTACTTGTTGGGGATGATTAGGTGAATGAATGGCATGGGGCTTTCCCTTGGGGTCCTTATACTCTAATGGAGGAGGAGGACACATACAAATAGTTGCAACTCTGTCATGGATAAGTCTCATGTACTTGGAGAGGCTGCTCTTCTGGATTCAAGTCACATGAACAGAGCAAGTGCAAAGCCCTGGGAGAGAAGAGAAGAATCTGAACATATTGATAAGTGGCTTCTTGAAAATCAACTCTGCCCAGAGGCTTTTTTGAAATCTTGAGGTGTTGTCAAGCTTTATGTTTTGTATTTGATTTGTTGTAGTCTCATTTGCTGTGATTTGCTTCCTCACTAATTAGCCTTGGTCTTCTCAGAGGCTGCTTAATAAGATCTTAGATCTGAAGTATATGGAACTTATTAAACTTTGCTCTAGACTGAGAATGTACTTGTAAAACAATTTCAAAAGTACCATTTAAAAATAAGATTAAATACAAATCAATATATAAAAGCCACTGGTGCTGTGGTTTAGCACTGTTTTAAGGAAAATGGGGAAGGTAATTTGGTGTCCTACGACATTAAAATACAGTTAGCTAAATGGAAATAAATGGTGTCATAGGAACAATAGAATTGGCTTTATTTTTCTATTTGATGGTTCAGGAATCTTTTTTGGCTACTTTAGCCACATCAATTTTTGTTAGTTGCAGTAGCAGAGGTTTAAAATACAACCTTATCTAGAAAAGCTGGCTCCCAATTCCCCCAAAAAAGACAATGTCATGATCATAGGGTACCTAATTCATCGATCTGTTATGAAAAATGTAATATTTCATTGGAATAATGTACTTTTGGACTGGGGGCAACATTTCATTTAGCTATTTAGCATGCTGCCTATCTTAAGGAATTATATCAGGTTTTATATTTCAAATGACAATGAACACAAGCAAAACATGTTGAATGTAATAATTTGAAAGTATAAATAATAAAAATCTATAATCCACCACCTGGGCTGGTGATACTTTATTTTCTTCACTATATACTCACCCCTGCATTCACTTACATTTTATCATTGAAGTTGGGAATTGGATTTGTTCTAAGAGTTGGCTTTCCTATTGGTTTATAGTACAAATTGAGCAAGTTCTCACTGGCTGCCACACTGGGAACTGAAGTAAAATTTTTCCTAAATGTGGAACTCAAAGAGTTGAGTCCTGCCTCCTCCCCCCAATTTTATCTTTGCCACCTTTGATCTGATCTCATTTCATGAGTACTTGTTGGTGTGGCATTTTTAAGTGTGTGAATTTTAAGTGTGTGAATGTAGGTTTGATACCAAGGCAAGCTCCTACTGAATTATGTAATTTTTTTCAGTTTCTGATGGATTATAGAAGCATATAGAACTGCCTGAACATTCAGACTTTGTCTCAGAACATCAGCTGAAATCTTATTGTCTTGTAAAAGCACATTTTAGTGGTGCTCATTAAGGAGCTTTAACATTTCTCCCATGTCAATAATTTATATCTATTAAAACATTTTAGAAATTACAAGATTAATAACCTTATGCACCTACCGTCTAGAATAGCGTATTTCCTTTTTTACATAGCCCTGATCCATTCTCATGTACCACACGACTGCTTTTGAAATAGTCCCATGATGTAGATTAGTAAATCTCGATAGTTTGTAAGTTTCATTATAACCTAATAAATTTACAGTTTTCTGGCTTAAATTCAAGAGTAGACTAAAGACTTACTCAGACCTGGTAAAAGCAGCTTAGACATGATGGGCTGGTTCCTAAGTACTGGCAGAAAGCGTTAGGACTGTGAGTAACAAAAGGAGTAGGCGAATTCCTGCAGTTCGTGTTTTTCCTCTTCAAAAACTAAGTATTTCGGGCTTTGCAGGCCATGGGTCTGTCTCAACTACTCACTTCTGCTATTGTAGTGAGAAAGCATCCATAGACAATTTGTAAACATGGGCATGCTGTCCTCTGATTTTCACTTGTCAAAAAGTACTTTTCCCCCAACCACCTAAAAAGTAAAAAACATTCTAAGCTTGTGGGCTTGACAAAAACAGGCAGTAGGCTGGGTTTGGCCAGTAGACTAGTTTGCCTGCCCCCCCTCCCCGGCAGTGTGATCACTGGTTGCTTGGGTTAGAACCAAATGTGTCTCCTCCGTACCTTTTAAAGTGACACATGACTGTTATTTGGATGAAGATTAAAGTTTTGTGAGAGTTTTCTTTTTGTTAATATATACATATTTTGATAAATTATGTTCAGATTAAGGGCCAACCCCGTGGCTCACTCTGGAGAGTGCGGCGCTGGGAGTGCAGCAGCGCTCCCACCGGGGGTTTGGATCCTATATAGGGATGGCCGGTGCGCTCACTGGCTGAGCGCGGGAGGGTTGTGATCCCCTTACCGGTCACACACACACACACACAAAAAAATATGTTCAGATTAAGCATTTATCAATACCAATTTTTTTCATGAGATTATTGAACATTTTTACATAGATAATTTCTTAAAGCATTTTTAAAACCATAGAGGCTTTTAAAGAAAATCAGATCTGTACAAGCTAATTTTTTAAAAGTGACCTTTAACTTTAAGCTTTTTCAGTGTATGCAAATATGTGCATGAAACAGATAATATATAGTATTCTGCCTTTTTCAATAAGCATTACTGAAAAGACCTCTCCCTGTGGGAGCGCATCTCTGGTAACTGCACAGTATCTATTAAAATAGATTGCCATAATTTAATCCGATTTGTGCATTAAATTGATGCCAGTTTCAAAAATTCTGCAATGCATGTCTGACCATATTCTGGTTGTAAATCTTGTCCAAATATTTCTGGTGCCTAGATTCCCAGAAGTGGAACTGTCAGGTGACAGGGTTAAATATGACAGGCACTACTCAATTGCTCTCCATAAGGCTGTATTAGTTTACACACCCAGATGCTTACCTGAAGATCATTTTTAGTATCTGCATAATACACCCTTATATGGATGTATTACAAGTTAACCATTACCCCCTTGCTGCTGGGCATTTTATTTCCATGGCTTATCATTCCAATGCCTTATCTTGGTACATAAATCTTTGTACACATTCCTTATCTACGCATTCCTTATCTATGCATTCCTGTAGATAAGTTGAATTCCTAGTATAATTACTTGGTCAAAAGGCATGTTTATTCTTAAAAAAGTTGATAGACACTGATGGCAAAATAAGTGTGGCTAAAATAAAAGATTTCACTAATTTGATTAAGGAATGAATTTGAGGAAAGCAGGAAGATTTATGCTTCTATTAATGTCTGACGGGAGGGTGGTAATCTACATAGAGATGTTTGTCAGGTGTTACAATGCAGAAGACTTAAGTAACTTTCAGAATTGTAATTCGCTGAACTCACATTAAAGTAGAAGAATTGAAGATTAGTTCCTGGTAAAAAGACATAGAACCTTTGAGTATTTGCATGTTTGCTGTGTCTTGCTAATACAGGCCATAGGGACTCTCATATTACTGCTAGAATTTAGCCAATGGCAGTAGTCAGGAAGGTATTAAAGCGGTGAGAAAGTAGCACCAAGGATGAGATTACTTTTCAATCTGATTTATGCTCTACAGCTTCATGTAAAATGTTGCTAAGTATTCGGCGGGGGATATTTTAAAATAAAATTTTATTGCTTTTGGAGATGTCGTAAGTATATAAAAAACTGTAAAACCTTGAAAGATGTGAGGAACTTCTGATGTAAAAATAAACACTTAAGTCACTTATCTCTACCCCACTAGAATATAAGCTCCTTGAGGGCAGAAACTTGTTCTGTGCTGTTACCACCAATGCTAGACACATAAAGCAGATGTTGGTTATTGTGCAGCTATTGGTAAACACTAAGAATTCATGAAATGGTTGGAAACTTCATTTGAGGCAACTACAGAGCAACACTGTAGGTATAACCAATTCATTAAAAATACTTTTAAGGGCCGAGCCCGTGGCGCACTCGGGAGAGTGCGGCGCTGGTCCTGCTGCGGGTTCAGATCCTGTGTAAGGATGACCGGTGTGCTCACAGTGGGTGTGGCCGGTCTCAAAAAGGACAAATAAAAAAATAAAATAAAATACTTTAAAAAAACCTGATGTTTAATTAGTCCTATGTGATTGTCTACAAAATTCTGCCTAAAGAGACCTATAGAGAATTTAACTCTAATGTGAAGACTTCATTGGAAGTGCCAAGCTTCTGTTTTCCTCCAACTTAACTATCCTAATCAAAAATGAAACGACATTTGAGTAACTTTTACATGATGATTTTAAAGTTGGTCTTGGGGCCGACCCCGTGGCGCACTCGGGAGAGTGCGGTGCTGATAACACCAAGGCCCCGGGTTTGGATCCCATATAGGGATGGCCGGTTGGCTCACTGGGTGAGCGTGGTGCTGACAACACCAAGTCAAGGGTTAAGATCCCCTTACCGGTCATCTTTTAAAAAAAATAAAAATAAAAAAATAAAGTTGGTCTTGGGTAAACAGTGTATTTTGGGAAACCTAATGGATGTGTGTGTGTGCCTAGACAGTTACCCTTTCAGAGCTGCAACAATTACAATGATAGTAGTGCAGGAAGTATCTGCAACATATTAGAAAACAGGAATTCTAGGATAAGAGCTCTTGATCATTAAAATATTGTAACACAACCCTGGGGGGTGGGGAGATAGCAATAAGTCAGACAATCAAGATGGTACACCATTAGATTGGCAAAAATAAGATGGAAAATAGTCATCAGGAGAATACTGACAACACCTTCGTGGTGGACAGTTTCTTTTAACCCAGTAATTCTACCAGGACCATAAAGTGTACAAATGTACCGCTTGTAAGAGATAATGTTCTGATCCCCATACCAGCCAGCCACCAAAAAGATAATGCATTATGACCATCGATGAGAAAGAGTAAAGTTGTTATGGCAGAATGCCATGCAAGTTTGGAGTGTGAATGTGGTTAGGTTGAATATTTGAACACAGCATAAACCCATGGTTGAGGAAGCAATGCATTCTGCACTGAAAAGGTATAGGTTTCCCCCTGGATATCCACTTTAAATATACATTTCAAAATCAAAAGCATGTACCTTCACTTTCAGAAGTTGACTATTTGCAAATCTATTGTTTATTTAAAAAAACACATACACACACAAAGATCATTTATTTCTATTTTTATTTGATGTTTCCAAATATAAAAAAAAGGTCAAGATTCTTACACCAGTTATTTCAAATGAGACCATGCAAAGCAATTCAGTGTGTACAACAATCATTTCTTCCCTTCAGTTCTGCTGCCTTATACAAGAGTGTGATTGACAGAAAATTGGATGACATGTGGCTGGCTGGAAATGTCATCTGTTTACAAAAACAACAAAAAAACCCCAAACAACATGCAGGACAGTTTCTACTTTTGTAAGTCAATTTATAATAAGTATTTTGTTTTTTATTTAGGAGGCACATGGAACTGAAAATTTTAGCTGCCCGATTTTATTAAGCTAACCCACAAAAAAGCACAAATAACAGTCCCAAGGCTCACAGACTTTGGAAGGTTGAGATAGTAGACACTGTTATTTTTAGTAGATTCAACTACTTAGCCTGAAAACATTGGCTTTTTCTCTTAATAGAAATAAATCTTCTTAGGGCTTTTCCTCTAGTTTTGCTAGAGTGGGTTACAGAAGAATAGTGAAGAATGCTTCATGTGAAATTTAAAGTGAAAACAGTAAAGTATTCTGTTACACTACACAAACATTTGCTAGTTGCACAGACTAAAGACAGTTGGTTTGCTAAATGGTACTGAAGAAAATCCTGACCCAAGTGGCACTACTTAGTCCAAATGTTTCTGACCAAAGAAAATTATACAATATTTATAGGCTAACTTTAAGAGATGGTTGACATTAATACTGTACATATTTTACATGTCAAATACATAGTCCAAGAGTTTATAAAACAAGTTCATGCATTATTACTTCTAAGAATATCATATACAAGATAAACCTCCCCAAGTACTTGTGACAGCATTTCAGGTAGAAGCAGTCTTATATACAAAAACAATCCAGTTCCTCTGCTTTGCTAAGTATATAATTTAAAGAAACTTCAGAGATTACTGAGAAAAAAAATCTTAGTCCACTGAAGACTAAAGTGTCAATTTGTGGGATTTAAAATGCTTCCTTTTTAAAAAATACCCAGAATACATAACCTCTGTACAAAGAAAAATATAAAAATTCTGGGCGATCATGTTTGATCACAATATATAATTTAGAATGAAATGTCATTGGTTAAAAGTTTTTCTACTTTTACTCATTCCTTTGACAAAATTAATTTGTGAACTAACATTTATATTTAGTTCAGCTGCATTTATGGCACAAGATCTCATTTTCAAAATGGCACCAATTTTCCTTAAGTGTAACAGCATTCTATTTTTAGCAGCAATTACATTTTTAAAGGTTAACAACTTGTAGAACAAATGTTTTAACTATACTTATTTTCTACTTTATACCCACCAGTTATAATATTTACAAAAGGCTAAAGTCTACTTTAAAAATGATCTTTCACTCTCTCTCCTTCCCCACATTTTAGTCAAAGATTTTTCCTCCCACCTCATTTCTGACCTGGTTGGGGAGGTACAGGAGTTTCAGACAAGGTACCTATGTGTTTTAGATGGGATTCTTGATTTTAAGTGAGTATAAAGACAAGTATAAGACAAAATAATTCTTCGTTCAGGTATGTCCTACTACCCCAAAAGTTAGTTATGTGACAAATAGTACCTACGGACAACCTAGAAAAGGAGACATTCTACGGTACCCTAACAATCTTAAGCCTGAACAGCAAGAAGGCCATTTTATACAACGGTGATGCAGTCATCACTGACTGGCATTTAAGGTTAGACTCCAATTTTGTGGTTACTGGTAAACAAGAGAGTTTAACTGAAGAGGTGTCACTAAATTAAAAAACTGAAAACGTTTTAAAAGCAATTCACATTGAGGAAAATATGGTTCCAAGATATTCTGTGTAAAGAGATTATTGATAAAGGGAATTGGCAACTGAGCATGCTAAATAAAATTCCATGAATATAGTCTTCATGATAAGATGTATTTACTACATGCATTTTGTGAACAACATTTCCCTAAAAATCAACTCTATAGAGGTATACTTCATGTTAAACTACTATTGTGTAGGGGAAATATCCATATCAAACAGTTAGTGATATGAGTTGCGAAAATTCAGACATATGAGTTGACAAATTCCCGAAAATAGCAAATTAACTTCTTTGTCAAAACAGTTATTGGACCAAACAGAAATAGCCCAAATCTGCAATTTATAAGTTAAAATTGTCATCCTATAAAAAGTTTTAGGATGGATGGATCTCTTTAATACCAAGAATATTGTTCACTAATTCCTACCACAGAAGGATTTGAATAATACATTAATGCTATTAATGAGAAAACAATTTAGAGGGAAAATTTACCCAGAAGTAATCTGATCTGACAAAAGAAACCAGACTGATGTCAAATGGACAAAAAACTGAAAAAATGCTGCAAAAAATTGATAACCAAGAATATATGGTTGGGGGTGGGGAACAGTTAAGGCATCTAAAAAAAATTCCACATGGCTTTGGCTTATTAAAATATTTTACACTTTTAAAAAAAAAAAAAGATTTGAAAGCATCTGAAAAACATGCAAATTGTTTGAAAACCCTGCATGGAAAATTCAGACAGTTTGCAAGCCTCATTCAGATGTTTACCAAGGAAACTAAGCCTCTCCCCATGAGACTGCACACGGTGGGAAAGGTCTTTCCAATTCTCTCTATCTTATACTAGATGGCAACCCAGAGGTCTGTGCAGCAGTTACAAACAAGGTGTTATTATCTGGAAGCGAAGGGACTGTGGTATTTCCATTGGTTGGAGAACAACCCAGCTTCAGTTTTTCCAGATATTCTGCATGTACAGGTTTATGACACTGGAGAACTTTGATTGCATCTTCTACTTTGAACCACTCTCTCTTCCTGCCTAGAGAACAGTATGACATTGGTTACTACACAAGTTATTTTAAAAAGCAATACCCTAATAACAATGTCCCCTCACTCCCCTACAAATAACCTTTTTTTTTTAAAGAAATGGCTTACACAACAATATGTTAGGGAAGAATTTTAAGATAATTCAAATGTAGAGATATATATTCATTTTCCCTTCTCTAAAAGAAAAGTAGCCCAAAATAATTTAAGATGGAAATTGGGTTGAAGTATCTAGTACGTGAATTAAGAGAATTCAGACAGCAAAAGGAACAGGAACTTACCTATATTAACAGAATCTTCCCAATCTTCTAATATTTCAGTGACTGTAAGAACATAAACATATGTTCTGTGCTTTCGGTCTTGGTTCTGCTTGAATATAAAAAGAAAAGCATTTTAATCTACAGGAACTAACCATGGACACATTTCCAAGGGGAAAAAAAATCAGTTCTGTTGTATTGCTGATTAGTACAACCTATTTTCCAGGCAAATATACTAGAAGTGAGTTTATGCAAGACAAAACACTTAAAAGTTAAAAAAAGACCAGAATTGGAGCTTCACCACCACCAATTGTGAAATTAGCTCCAATACTAAACTTAACACTTCGATTTCTGTATATTCAACATTATTTTCATAAAGAAAATCTTAAATATTTGAATGGAATTTACATTAAAAGAACTGCATTCCTGTAGTTTTTATCCTAGGTCCTGGGGGCTAATCCTAACAACACTTCAGTGCTATCAGGGCCTCCCTCTGTAGTGCAAACAGCTCCAGCTCCTTTCGAACATTCCTCTTAAGAGTTTTATCAAAATGCACATAAGGCATAGCCCTACTAACCTAAACTGGCACTTTTCTTTTTTTTTTTTTCCCTTTTTGTCTTTTTTTTTTTTCGTGACCGGTAACGGGATCGCAACCCTCGGTGTCGCGCCTGTACCGCGATCGGCAACGGGATCGCAACCCTCGGTGTTGCGCCCGCACCGCACTCAACCAGTGAGCGGACCGGTCTCTATATGGGATCCGAACCCTTGGCGGGAGCGCCGCTACGCTCCCAAACACCGCACTCTACCGAGTGTGTCACTGGGCCGGCCCAAAACTGGCACTTTTCAACCTTGGCTGTATATTAGATCACTCAGGATGAATGATTTTTTTTTTTTTTTTTAAATCGATTCAATTAGCCTGGGATGAGACCTGAAGTGCTGATATTTTAAAAGCTTCCAGATGAACTATGTATAGTCAGGGTTGAGAATACCTGGGTTAGATTATTTTTGGAATATTATATACTCAAATTCATTTTTTACCCATGTTAAAATTGGCACCTAGTCTTGTCTCTGTGTTAAACACAAGTTGGCCTTAAGATGAAGGGACCCACCTTCACCCCAATTTAATCTAGCCTTGTTGGCTGTAGTTAAGACTTCAGATAACTGCCCTGATACAGTGTATTCCATCTTTGGGAAGGAATAAGAACAGCAATAAATTAGAGACGTCTGTCACTTAAAACATTATCTTTCATTATTTTTAGGAATCAGTCCTCTTATTTCTACATCTGGTATAGTGGATTGAATTATGTCCCCCCAAAACTCCCTGAAGGTTGAATTGTGTACCCCAAGTTTTATGTATTAGAAACTTGGCCCCCACTGTGACTTAAGAGGGTGGGAAATCCTATTATGGCAATTGAAAGGTGGAGCCCTGAAGAGGTGATTGGATTGTAGGACCGTGCAGTAGTGAATAGATTAATAATGGTGGTCAGGGATGAGGTTCTGAGGGCTTTAAAAGAAGAGGAGAGTCTGCCTTTTGCTCTCTCTGCTTCCACCATCTTGCAATGTGAGACCAATGGGTCACTGTCACCACCACCACCAGATAGACTTTGAATTTCTTAGCTTTGGAAACTGTAAGCAATAAATTTCATTTTCTTTATAAATCACCAAGTTTAGTGTAGTTTGTTATAAGCAACAAAAACAGACTATTACATCTGGCAAATCAATACATTTAATTGTTATATTCACAAATTCATTAAAATAGGTGGGGTGAATAGGCAGGGCAATTCTAATTTTTCCTTATATTTTCTAAGGGGAAAGGTACATTAATTGATATTTTTCTGTTAAGTAGTATTTGTAAAGCACTTAATACTGTTATCTTCCTTCCCATATTATACAAGCTTTGTTTATAATGTGAGAAGTTTTCTTTGAAAACTTTGTCAGCATATTGTAAGTGTTATTTCTACCACAATATGTGAATTGTAGAATTTGAATCACAGAAAAAACCTCAATATGTTTTTCAGTTTAACCAGGAGATGGTGCTATTTAACTGGGTAAAAGCAAGTGCTGAGTTCTAGAAAGTGTGAATAGTACCTCAAAGGCTTTATATAATATTCTGTATTCTGATGAGTCATCAATTCAACCAAGTGCTGTAGATTTTTTCTGAATTCCTAAAGGCTTAAAAATAAAATTTATATGGTTCTACCAGAAAGACTAAGCTAACACTTAAATAGAATTTTGAAAAAAGGAAAGTCACCATGTTTCTTGTATACTATGCATCTAGGTCTGAATCTCGGATGAAAACACATTGGAGAATAGCTTGAGTCTCAGGAACTGACTTTTCTCCCTGACTTCTGTAGAGTACCCTTCACTTTTAAATTCACTCCCTAAAAATTCCATTCTGCCCTCAAAAAAATAAGGGATTATATATGCAAGAGAATTCTATTCTCATAAGCATCTATTCCACATACCTGAGTTTTGTAAGTTCATATAGTCCTTTAAGGATAAAGTCATTATGTTTTTTGTCTAATGTGTTGTGCTGAAATCAATGGGTACATTTCCAGACAGAATCCATAAGAGACTTAAGCTCTTAGGTGATACTGAAGATATTATACCTCCTAAAAAGTCTGTATCTAAACAGTATACAGTGACCTAAAAGAAAAATCTTTCTGTATCACCTCCTTTATACAGTCAAACAGAAGTAATTACTACCATACAATGCTGTATAAAATTGATGGGATATAAACTAGTTCAGTTGCTTTTACTTACCTCCCTCCTAATCCTTATGACTGACTTCTCTACTGATAGAGGAATGTCTGGTTCAGGCTGCTGCCAGATCATCTGGCTGATTAAGAAGTAATCATTAATTCTATTACCAGCAAAGAGAGGATTACTTTTGTAACTCACCTCAAAAATCCCCAAGAGTCTGCCTAATTTTCCTTTGACTCCAGCCTATTTTTAAAAAAAAGATGAAATGTAAAATGCTTACCTTTTCACAGTAATAAAACTTTTACACAAGTTATACTCTGGCTATTTCAATTTTAAATATAAACACAATAGGCCCTCCCATACCAAATCACCATTCTTCCTGCTTCTGTGAGGTTTTTTGGCTGTGTCAAGATTCATGACCTGTGATTTGCTATGAAACATAGCTTAATTTGTTCCACACTGCAACTTCCTGTTGATCAGACTGATCAAAAATTAGACTTGCTACCAATTTCGGACAAGCTTCATGAATGAAAACAGACTTTTCTGTATGAACTAATTAAGTAAATAGACTCTTCCCCTTTCTTAAAGATCTGTCTTTCTCCTTTCTTTTCACTTGGCTCAGGAGGTACAATTCTTTCTATATGCTTCTACTGCCAAGTCTTCATTTCTTATACCTCGCGTACTGTACCAGACTGACTACAACTTCAGTGTATTCCCCATTCAAATCCTTCCTACAAACTAATACACTGGTACATGCCGTTTTAAGTAGAGGAAATATTCTACCTAAAACGTGTGGCTGGCCAGTTTGCCCAGTTGGTTAGAGCACGGGTTGATAACACCAAGGTCAAGGTTTCAGATCCCCTTACTGGGCAGCTGCCTAAATAAATAAATAATAAAAAATGTGTTCTTCCCTAAGAAAACTGCTCATCCTCAAGACCCACATCTATGGAAACTTTTAGGCTATACACCAAAGCCCAATGAGAGCATTCACTTCCCTTTCATACCAGAACTGCTGTTTAATAATTTTTTTATGGCACTTCTGTTCTGTTTTGCCTATGAGTAAAAGTAAGTTTTATCTATTATTAAATAAATGTAAGACAAGCTGGACATGTGTGCTCTTATGCACGAGTGTGCGCCACATTTTACTCAACTTTAAGAAACAAGTTAAATAAAAGCCATTTGCTTCTTATTAACTGAAAAATAATTATAGCACGATTAATGTCTCTGTGCATTCTTGTTCAGCGTTAATACCAACCTTGCTCTGAGACAAGACCATCATGTTTTACACTGAATGTATATCAAACAATAAATCTTATCAACAGGAAGTTGCCTGTTGTACAATTCTGGGGGACTTCCACATTGATTTTAGCTCTGTTTTACCAGGTAAAAAAATAATCTGCTTAGCAAAATGCTAACTATAGTCATGTGCTTTAAAATGTTGCATCAGACAACAAAAAAAGCACTCCTGTGACCTGCCTGTCCTCTTGCCTTAGTGTTATGTAGCAAACTGCCATGTTTGTAAACCTCACACCGAAGCCTCTCCTGTAAAACTTCAAAATGTGAAAGGAGAACACACAAACCACTGCTCATCTCACCTCCTCATAAACTTCCCTCACGGCAGCGCCACCAGGCTCCTCTTCGGGCTCCATTCCTCCTCCTGGGACAATCCACTGGTCGGGGTACCGACTGCTGCTCACCAACAGCACCTGCAAGGCCAACCATCAGTGTATTCTTCCAGCCTGACAAGCACTATGGATATAAACATTCTCAAACCTCTGCAAGGTTTTCACTCTATTCTAGATTTACCCATCTTTTCATTTCGTTTACATTATTAGGGGTACATGTTATATACCACAGAAAAGCAATGGACAGCCTTTGTAAACACCACCTTTCTGAAATCAGAATTCAACATTAACATGATCACATTACTAAATCATTCTGTACCTAATGAAGTCACTAAAACTAACAGATTCAATTAGTAAAACTCCAATTTTTGGACACTGTAACAAAGGTTAAAAGCAGAGACATGGTTTATTAGCTCTAGGGTTGTGGTCACATCAGTTATTCTTTAGTTACAGAATCTTTAGTTATTCTTCCAAATTTAAGGAAATATGACCACAAGCAGGTCACCCTGTTCCCTCACCTACAAAATGTAAGAATACTTAGAAGATGACGGATGCTGTGAGAAAGGAATAGTGAAACGCATGCAAACCCAATGTGTGATTCAGAGTGCTTGTTATTTTTATTCTTATGATTGGGTGGAAAGAGGCGCTCTTCATATTCCAAACTTGTAATAAATGAGCAAAAGTAGCTCCACTTCGATAACAAGCAGCTATAATTTATGACCTGGAATAGGACTGGCAAACTATAACCCACCACCTGTTTTTGTACAGTCTGTGAGCTAAATAAAAATGGGTTTTACACTTTTTGATTATGTGAAATTCAAATTTCAGTGTCCATAGATGCAGTTTTATTAGAATCCAGCCATTCATTCATTTTTACATATTATCCATGGTTGCCTCTGTGCTGCAACAGCAGAGGTGAGTAGTTGTGACAGAGACTGTATAACCTGCAAAGCCTAAATGATTTTTCTGGCCCTTAACGGGAAAAGTCTATGGACCCTAATCAAGAATAGCATTAAGCTTGAAGTATGCAAACCCTTTAAAAAAAAATAAATAAAGCAACCCACTATATTAGCACAAATATCCAAGAGGATAACTTTTTTTTTTTTTAAAGATGACTGGTAAGGGGATTTCAACCCTTGGCTTGGTGTTGTCAGCACCACGCTCAGCCAGTGAGCAAACCGGCCATCCCTATATAGGATCCGAACCCGGGGCCTTGGTGTTATCAGCACCGCACTCTACCGAGTGAGCCACGGGCTGGCCCCAAGAGGATAACTTTTTAACAGTACCCAAAACAGGTATTATATATGCATCTTATAAATGAAAATTTGTGGGCTAGGTTAGTTTGAAAGTCACTCAAGTTAAAAAAAAAAAAAAAGGCTATGATAAACAATCAAGTGATATTATGAAGGTATAAGTGCCTTAACCAACTTGAACAGAAATGTTTGCAAAATTATTGTAGTATACTGCCTTAAAGTAAATTTAGAGTTCTCCCTAGAAAAATACATCAAGTTGAGAACAAAGTTTAAGCTTCAGCATGGGCACTGATTTTTTTTGACACGCATGCCAGCAGTTCTATCTGCTCTATACTCTCCCTACTGCCAGAGGAGCTGCTGGCCCTTAAGAGTTCACAGCCAGACAGGTGTCACCTCCTACTCGAGGTAAATGACAGGCACTTAGCCTTCCACAACTGTTAAGCGTTTCAGGCTGACAGCAGTTCAGCAACTCCCACCTTTCTCCCCAACCCCCAAAACACTGAGTTGGAAGCTAAGATAATACCTATTTGGACATATAACCCCATCATTGGGAAAGTAGCACACCCTCTGCCTATGGACACACCAAAAGCATCACTTTGGAGCAGCGACCAATTAATGCTCAAGGGGTCAGCATCGTTTCTCTCATTCTTGATATAGTCAGGACTCTATTGCTTCCACCAGTACCATTCCTTCAAGCAAATAACTGGCAGAACAGTGGCAAATCTGGAGAAAGCACTGCCAATTAATATAACAGTTGACAAAGACTTAGCTGAAATATTAATGGCTGTCTTTGTGGGTATCATCAAGTCTAAATATAGCAATTTTGGCAAAAGGAAATTTAAGACTGCCATAAATTTAAGCTTTCTTAAATATTAGAAAATAGGGCTTAAGTATCAAAATTAAAAACTAAACAGCCAGAGTAAGCAAGTCTAGCAAGTACTGGAAGACACAGGTCTGAACTTGTTTCATACCTTGATATACACAATGATGGGCTAATAAACTATCTGTTAGTACATCAGCTTCCTGTAAAAAGAAATAACTATCCTTGTAGAAATGTTGAGTGTTAATAAGTATTAAACATCTTAGATCCTGCCCTAAGCACTCACTGTTGGCTATTACTAGCTTTCTGTTCTTCCACTGGTTAAGCTGAATCAGCCTACCAAGAATTAGGCTTATTCCCAAATTATGCCAGTTGTTCTTATTTTATAATTACTGAGAATTAATGATGAAATGACGATAGAAAGAAATGTATCCAAAAGACTCTGCAAAGATTCATTAAAGGTGGGCTATTAGGGCTGGCCCGTGGCTCACTTGGGAGAGCATGGTACTGACAACAACAAGTCAAGGGCTAAGATCTCCTTACCTGTCACCTTAAAAAAAAAAAAAGATGGGCTATTAAAAACTGATATCAAATTAAGTACGGATGAAACTACTATAAAAGATTTGAAAAAGGAAATAAAAAATCCAGAAAGAGCCTGCAAGAGTCTCTATTCTCAAATTCTATTTTAAATAAAGTCAAACTGCAAATCAGATTTCAAAACCTTTATATTTTATTCCAAAGGGAGGCTTATTGAGGATCTATGGTAATCAAAGGCTTTGGGCCCAATATTAAGACTGACAAATGTAAGCTTTTAAGTTAAAGTAAAAATGTTTAAGGTATATATATCTCGCGTCATTGGAAAAGCAGACAGGCTACCCACTGGAAAAGTACATCCTCGTTTAGTAAACAGGTTGTGTCAAAACCATGGACATTCAAAATGTTTGAGTCCTGGAAAAATGAAATTCAAAGTGTTGTGTATCTAGGTCAATGACTAATATGTTCCCAATTCTCCAAGATAGTCTTTAAGAACTAAATTATATAAGGTTTAATAATGTTGAAAAATCCATTAGTATAGTTTCTTTTTCTGAACATTTAAGCTTCAGAGTTAAAACCAAACCTTTATATGCAGGACATCAACATATGACTAAACTTTTTTTCCAAAAACCAGTGACATGGGACTCCTGCATGGTTCAACATCTCCCTTCCATAAATTACTTTTTAGAAAGCCTCATGAAAACAGATCTATATACATTTTGAACAAGTGATTTAGCCAAATCCAAGAATTTATCATGCAAGAGTACCATTACATTCCAAAAAGATTAAATTTATTTTTTTCTTTGTTTTCTGGTGGCTGGCTGTATGATTTTGTGTCATAACGCCATGCTCTAACCAACTGAGTTAACCAGCCAGACCCCCAAAAGATTACATTTAATCAAACCATTAACTTCAAATGTATCACTGGGGGGCGAGGGGGGGGGGATGATCGATTTAAATGAGTAATTATTATCTATGGCATAGAAATAATTGACATCTAAACTACTAGCTTAAGAAAGATTTGTTGATGTCCATCTTTTGGTAATGGTAGATTTGAAAACCAGTATGTTGCAGAAGGCACTTGTCTACTCATCAAGACTGACAAACTAGCAGATGGAACTGAGCTCCTACATGCCCTTGACCCAGTCTATCCTAAACCGTGCTACTTTTGTACTTTTTGTTCTTTTTGAGATTCTAGAACTGCACTGGCTAACACAGTCGCCACTAGCATCACATGGCTATTTAAATTTAAGATTAAATAAAATAAAAAATTCGGTTCCTCAGTCCAATAGTCATATTTCAAGTGCCACATGTGAGTAGTGGCTACATATTGGACAACATTGATCTACTGCATCTTAAAGGCACATTCTTTTCAGACCAGGCAAAACACATAACTGTTAGTCATTTATCAATTTATAATTCCATGAAGAAGATAACCACTTTAGGACAGTTATCTCAGTTGGTTAGAGTATGCTGCTGATAACACTAAGGTCCACAGTTCAATCCCTGTACTGGCCCACCAAAAAAAAAGAAAGATTATCACTTTAAAGCTCTTTCCAAAAGAAAACCAGAATCATGAAAATAAGCTAGTAAGAAAAAAAAAAAAGTATCATGTACATGGCATCCAAACTAAATCCATTCACATTGTCTTTACTATCTTCATTCTCTAGATAACAGTCTTTAACTCTTGTCAAATAAATAATAATTCAGCATAAACTGTCCAGCTTAAGGAGAAGCACTTTGGAGAAAAAAGTTACTAATTTTGTTCCACATTTACTAATTTTGAGATGTTGAACAAGGATCTCTAGGTTATGGAAAGATGAATATAGATGTCTCTCTCAAAGAGCTTACATTCTTGGAGGTGGGATGGAAGAATAAAGTCACATAGTAGGCACAATATTTTGTGGCTGAAAATAGCAAGAAAATATAGATCTATGTAAATCTATATTGGCAATAGATCTATATAAATTTTGGACAATTGATTTGGTCCAATAACTTATTACCCAAGTCCCTTGACATTCCCAAAAAATTAAATTTGATCAAATCATTAACTTCAAATATATCTTTCCAAAAAAAAAAAAAGATCAATTTAAATGAATACTTAATACCTGTGGTACAGAAATAACTAGCATCTAAACTAACTTAAGAAAAGAGATTTGATGCAGGTGTAATTGTGATGGTATGGATTTCATTTAGATTTCATTAAATATTTGCTCATTCATCTCAAGTACTTCATTGAGGAGTCCAAATGAGGGCAAGGGCACATTTGGGGGGTGGGGAAGGTGGTGATGAAGAAAGAGCAAGAATTGAGGGATACACTCCACAGACAAGAGAACAGACAGGGCCATGACGCAGGACTGCCTGGGTGGGAGAAATATATCTAAATAGCATGAGCAGAGATAAAGCCAATTAAAACAACCCCCCACCCCATAAAAATGAGTGAACAGGTTTTTAACTTGATGCCAGCTCATGGGACAGTA